CGTCACCGTGGTGTCTCATGTACGCCCCATGTCTGCGAGGTGTTCATTCACATACCCCCCCCCCACACACACACACACACATAGGTCGGTGGTGTTTTTTGGAGAGGTGGTGGGAACCAAAAGACAGGGCTTAGCAGGAGGAAGTAAATAGTTGAGGGCAAGAATTTGAAGGTCAAACCTTGTCTCCAACCCACTCCCTTTCTCCCCGCTACCTGTCAGCCCTGCCCTGGAAAAAACCTCCTGATAGCGCCCCCGTGAGTCTGCCCATGCAGACAGAACCCTCTGAAATGGTGAGCCAAAAAAAAAAAATCTTGAGAAATGGGGTGGGGTGAATGTGGGAGGAGAGAAGGGAGGAGAGGAGGAAGAGGGAACTAGGATTGGTATGTAAAATTTTAAAAAAAAAAGATTGCTTAAAAAAACCCAGAAGCTAGGAGAGCAGTATTTTAAATTTTGCATCAGAATTTTTACTGAAAATATAAAGGGTGTCCATATAAATTAACTAAAATGTTCATGTACCACCTTTCAGCTGTCTTGGTGAGCATTCTGTCATAAAAACAGGAAAATAACACACCGGTTGGTTTTTAAGTTTCCTGTAACCTTTCTGCTACCCAACAAATATTTTACTTAGCCTTTCTACCACTTCATATTTCTTCTCATTTTTGTTAATTATGTTGTTAATTTGAAATTAATGTTAACCAAATAACCAAGTTGATGCAATTAATTTGTTTTATTTTTTAAAAATGACAAGTAACTCGTGTTATGGCAAAATATTGAAGATAAACCCTCCCAATGAAATAAGACCCCAGACTCTAGTAGGCCCCCAAACTAACTGACCCCACGATGGAAGTAAGTACCATTCAGGGCATAAAATTCAGCACATAGACAGCACCACCTGCCAAAATAAAGACAAAGATCTCATCCATCAAAGCCCTTAGTTCTGGGGAAATCTCTAAACATTCTAACCTTGCTTTTAGGCTTCTGTAGTTCCGCTTCTGTCTGACTGTCTTTGCTAACTGAATATGTCAACCCAGGACATGGCTTTTGTACTTATAAGTTCACCTAAGAAAGGCTCGGGGCTCTACGGGGATCCCCAGCACCCAGTGTAGTCTCCGGCCAGCTAATAAAGACCTTCTGCTAATTAAACCCAAGTCCGAGCAGTCTTCTCTGGTGGACACCCACAACACTGCCTCTGCTGACTTGAAACACTTGCGTTAAGACATTGCAAGACCCCAAATGGTAGGAGGTAGGTGCTAAGAAGGAGGCGTGGGGAAATGGGGGACCTTAACTGAGGAGCCAGAGGAAGTACAGTGGGGGTTGGGGACAAACGGCACTGAGGTATTTGAAACAAGACATTAGGATACGTTGCTTTATAAGCTTACGTTCAAATACATAAACATGTGTGGGCACATGCATACCGGGATACATATGTTACACCACATGGAGCAATGGTGCTCACCCCAAGAGTGAGGCACATCTAGCAAATATCCCAGTACCTGGCAGGTGAAACCTCCCCTCTGTCGGTCAGAGGGACAGGCGAGACTTCAAGCCATTGTCATTGCCTCCCAGAGGACGACGGTAAGGCCCTATTGCTGAAGACACCCACGCTTAGGACAGAGGACACAGGAGGTGAGCTGGGACTGACCTGGAAGCCCCTCCCTGAGGACCAGCTCTCAGAGCTTCAGAAGGGAGAGCAGCTGGTAGCCCCGCCCCCACCCCAGCTGTAAGGTCTATGAGCAAGAATGCAGATATCTTGGAGGACTGTCCTGCCTACCACACAGGGAAACTGGATTTATTCTGCTGTAACTAATGCTGCATGTGGCTGTGTGTCCTCACGCGGTGCCCCAGCTGCAAGGGACGAGGTGAAGGGTGCTCCCATCTCCTTGTGTTGTCCTTCCTTCCTTTCTTTCTTTCTTTCTTTCTTTCTTTCTTTCTTTCTTTCTTTCTTTCTCTCTTTTTTGTGGTTTTTCGAGACAGGGTTTCTCTGTGTAGCTTTGGAGCCTGTCCTGGAACTCATTCTGTAGTCCAGGCTAGCCTCGAACTCACAGAGATCCACCTACCTCTACCTCCCGAGTGTTGGGATTAAAAGTGTGCACCACCACTGCCCGGCTTCTTCTTGCCTGGACTTAATCCCTGGGTTTGCCCAACCAGGCTGTGTGTGCAGTTGAAGTCGTCAGAAAGATGAAGAATTTGGAAATGGCATCTGGACACCTACCAATAACCTCGTGTGGATGCGTGCTCTCCCTCCACCTATCCTGGTACTCTCCAGAGCATAGCGGGAGGAAGCAGGTGAAATCAGAGAGCACAAGGTGGAAACAAAATGTGAAGCCATGGGAAGAAAACTGGCAGCCGTCCCCCTTCTAAGATCTTAATCCAGGAAGCTGCAATAGTCGCTCGGGGTAAAGAGGAAAAGCTGAGATCATTTGACATTATATCATATTCACAAGGATATTAGATATCATTATATATTATAATATATTCATAATGATATTAGATGTCATTATGCACCATATATAGCACGAGCACTCCACAGCCCTCTTTAACTCGCGCTCATGTGTGTACATCCAAGGATGGAATATGTACCATATATACATATATAGTATACATCTATAAATGGTTGGTACCTGTAAATGAGGAAATTCAGGTTCTGAGTGGTGGCCAATAACCCAGGGGAACAAGTATCAGTGCTCGATGGAAACTTTTGCCTGCTGTCGGCCCCACACCAGGAAATGTCCTCACTCTCATTCTGCCTGGCAAGAAGGCAAGACTAAAATCCATCCCAAGCCCCATATTGTACCATCAGTGTCTAAATGACAATTGTGATGGTACTGGTCTCCCTGATCTGACCTTTCTGTGTCACAGTGGCTTCTCAGAGCAGGTCAGGAGTTCACATTTCACGTCTGTGGTATTGCCCCAGATGCATTGTTTCTTAGTCAGAGACGTTCTAGTGTGAAGATAAGTGATCTAGGGCCTGTATCTGCTTCTCTTCCTTTTCAAACTACTTAGGAAAAGCAGCTAGGATGTTCCAAGTTTTTCATGCATACATTAAATGAATTGGCATTCATTCATTCGTTCGTTTGAAAAGCCAGGCATGGTGGCGAAGGCTGTAACCACAGTACTCCAGGAAACTGAAGCAGGGTATCCCTGTGAGTTCAAAGCCTGCCTGGGCTACAGAGTAAGAACCTGTTGCACGGTGTGGAGACAAGAGTGGAAAGGAGTGGAGGAAGAGGGGAGGGGAAGAGGAGCGGGGAGGATAGGAGACAGAACTAACTTTAAAAAGTTAGTTTAAAAAAAAAAGAGGATCCTCATTGCACCACACAGCTCATCTCAATGCCCCACCTCTCTCTGTAAGGAGTAACGATTTGGGTGCGAGGTGGTCAGTTCAGAACCTCTGCTTCATCGTGAAGTCCAGGGCCTTACCTCAGGAACCAGCCCTATAGGACTTGTTTTTGTCTGCATCTCCCCAGCGCACCCCTCCATCCGTTCCAGTCACGCAGACCCCTAGATCTTAGGAAGCTCTCCTGCAGCCTCCCTGTAATTCGCACCATCTGGCTACGAGGCACATACAATGACGCTTTTCTGAACTGAAATTTGCTGATTTTTTTTTGACATTTTATGTGATTTTCAAGTATTTGAAAGAATTTTAAAAGATCAAAGCGCTTTAGTAAAAATTTATCTGGATTATCTTTTATGAATGTTGGGTTACTATTTGAAAAGTTTTTATGTTTTATAATGTTGTAACTTGGTAATGTGAGAAATTAAAATTACTATTGTTATCCTCACTGTGTTTCTATTGAACAACGCTGGTTTTGTTGTTTCGTTTTCCCCAGACAAGGTCTCACTTATAAAGCCCTGGCTGACCTGGAATTAACTGAGTATAAACCAGGCTAACCTAGAACTCACAGCGATCTTCCTGCCTCTACCTGCAACTGCTGAGATTAAAGGCGTGCACCACAACCCGGCTTTCTTGACTTGGTGTGGATTGGTGTTTTGTTTTGAGACTGGGCTTCTGTAGCCCAGGTTGGCCTGGATATCACTGAATAGCACAGGCTGACCATGAACTCCTGACCCTCCTCCCTCAACTGCCTGGTAGTACAAGCGCTGGGACCCGCCTCGCTTTCTGGCTCTCAATGCTATTTGTTTGTCGGTCATCCAACACTAGACTGCAATACAGGGCGTTCACATCACGAATCCCTGTCATTTCAGAACCTGGAGCACGTGTGGACTCGCTGCTGGTTTTGGTTTAGCTTTTTATATTTCCGACCTTTCTGTTCCTTTTCTGGAGGAGGAGCAACATCCGGCGTCCCCAGCTCTGGGTCTGGGTTCCTCCAGCTCTATGTCCGCTGCTCCTCACTGAACAAACGCCCTGGATGGAAGGGGAGCTGGAGACACACGTAACAAAATCTCCTTATTATCCTACTTGCGGAGTGGGATGCGGGACAGAAGCGGTCCCACAACAGCAAAGTAACCGGGTGAGCTCCGGGCTCCCGCGCCCTCTTTCTAGGAAACCCGCTCCGCAGCCTCCCGCGGTGCACTTCTCCCTCCGGCCACACGGCGGCAGGAGAGCGCGCTGCGGCCGTGGTACAGTCCGCCCTCCCCCCTCATTCCGGGGACAGTGGGCTCTTCCAGCCGTAGAAAAGCATTGTGGGATCGCTGTCCGCCCTTTCTCCGTTCTCACGTGGCGCGCCGTGCGGTTGTGTTCGTGGCTTTGGCCTGGCGGGTGGTTATGGCATGGGAATCCGAAGTGTCCACGGCGGCTTTGGGCTGCTACGATCCCTTCCCGGCAAGTGGGGAGACGTGGCCGTGTGAGGAGCACGGCCCGCCGGACTCCTCGGAAAATGGGTCGGTGTGAGCCGAGGGCCGTCTGTGATGTGGATCTTCGCCGTCTGCCCAGCCGCACCACTGGGCGAGAATGGAGTGGCGATCGGAGTCGAGAGGTGGGATCGAGTACCGCTTTCCAGGCTTTGAGTCGGGATAGAGCCGGCCTGAGGCTCTGTTCATGTAGCCTTTGTGTTGCCCGTTCACTTTTGGTCACTAGTGAATGTGGTGTCAAAAAAGGCATAAATTAATACTTAGCATGCTTTTCTTACCCCGGACTTTGGTATCTTGGGTGAAGGAACCGCTTAAGTAACAAAGTCTACCCTAACTTATGTGGGGGCGGGGTGAATGGGCTGCCCAAGGCCGGCAGTGTGGTTTCTACTAACTGGTTCTTCACTCATTTGGCAGGTAGGTGTCTGAAGATGACCGACACTTGGGGAAGGACACACGGGAGCGCAAAGGTGGCACAAGGTAGGCTGCAAGGCACAAGTGTGGGGATTTCTAAGTTGGGGTGCCGTCCGAATTTTTAGTCTTAATTGGTTCGTTTGCATTGGTGCTGCTTACCCGAGGTTAGGCCAGAAGGCAGCTGCAGAGAAGATAGCTCTGCATTGGCTCATTTTTATGGGCGTTGGGCTGAATTTTCTGAGTACGTAGTATTGAACAGAAATGCGAATGTACATTGTGGCTTTCTGAATCTCTTTAGATCTGTGTATCGGCTAGAAAAGTTTGTAAGTCCACAAATTGGGGGAGTTTTACTAATACTAAAGACTGGTGGGGATTTAGGGATTTATGTGACGGAATACTTAGAACAGATGAATAAAGTGGTCTTTCGGTTTTTTCTCTTTTAGGATGTCCTTGATCGTTTGGAATGTGATCTTCAGAAACGTGGATAAGCTGAATTTCCTAAGAGATGTGACAAGACATTGCATAAGGGCACATTTTTGTAATAGGCTATGAATAAATATTTAATATGCTACTTTGAGACTTGTGTGCTAAATGCCAGATTTCCAGAGCGCCCTACTGTGGATTCCTATGTAACAGCCAAACTGGTAGCTAGATTTATGCTTAATTTCCCTTGGCTTAACAAGTACAGATTCATGATTGTATTCGGTACTTAACACTCCCCTTGGAGCTGAACTGGAACATCATGGATGGGAAGCTCGCTTTGAGATGAAGCCAAAGTCTGACCGAGTGGGAACCCCGAGGAAGCAGTCAGTGGGGGTGGGTGCCACTGCAAAGCAAAGTCGGGAGAACAGCATGTGTTTGCTGTTCTCCCTCTGCTCTGGTTTCAGAGCTGGGAGTGTCAGCAAGAGAGACAGGATAAACAGTAAGGAGGCCAGACCACTAAGGCTTGGGTTTTATTAAAGCAAGATCAGGAATAATGGGAGGGTGGTTCCAGGGAGGTGGGCTGCAAAGGGTGTCCTGTAGAAGCAGGTTAGAATTAGAGCAGAGAAAAGAGCGTTGAGACATCAGATATCGGTTAGAAAGGAATTCTTAGATTTAGTTTTATTTTTCTGTGTGGAAATAAAAGGCCACAGTTGTGGTTCCAGTGTTGGGGACAATTTGGCACTGTATCTCTGAGCTGTCTACCTCCTTGAGGGGTTGGAATGGACATTAAGGATGCTTCAGTTGGCCCTCAAAGGGATAGCTTGGCAGAGTTGAATTCCTGGGCTGTAGTAACTGAATGGCTACAAGAGGCAGATGAGACCCTGCATTAAAATGTAAAGAGGCTTAAGGGAACAGGGTTGCAAGGAGCCTAGAAATGTCCTGTAAGGGAGAAGCTGTGTTGCAGCTGCTGACAGCAATACCTTGTCCTCTGAAGGACAAGGTCCAAAACCTGGGTACATGAGTGTTGGGGAGGAAAGGAAGGCAAGGTCCAAACAGGCTTTTTTTTTTCCCTCAGAAAACACAAGACAAGGACACTTAAGTTCAAATCAACACTTAACAGCTTTTTACAATATTTGTAAATAACCATTGGGACTTGATGCCACAAAATACAATAATACAAACAGCTTTATGGGAATAAAAGTCAACAACAGTCTGCAGACCAGGAATCCAAAGGCTTCATGAGAAGTGTGGGTCCTGGCTGGGGTGAAGAGTTGGACGGGCTCCAGGGAAGACTGGCATCCAGTGAGTTCATAGGGTCCCTCCGGTCAGAAGGCTCCACAGCTCAAGAAGGCTGTGCATAAACCCTTAAATGCTCGTTTTCTTTCGCTAAAGACATGCCCGCGACATGTGGATAAGTTCTCTAATTCACAGTTTCAGAAGTGCCAGTGGCACAGGATTTCCACCCCCACCCTTAAGCAGGTCAAGTCTCTGTCTTGAGGCGGGCAGCCTGGACAGTTTTTATTGTTTTTGCTGTATGCTTTCCAGCCAGGTTGATTGTAGACAGCTGAGATTTTTCTTCAATCAGGCTGTCTTTAGAGCCATTTCTTCGCTAGAAAAACAATTGATGACAAGACAATGATCGGATTGAGTACTATTAGAAATAGACCAGAAGCTGGGCATAGAGGACACACTTGGATAATCCCAGGAAGAGAGCAAGACAATCCCTGGGCTACATAGTGTGGCCACATTAAATTTATTTTACGACACTGCAAGTTGTAATTAACACAGAGAAAAGTCTATGATAGTGTTTGAGAGTTTCCACTAGTTAACTGCAAAAATCAAACGTGTTTACTCTTGGTCTGACAAGATTCAGTACACATGAGTTTTATTCATTATTTAAAGACTTCCTTAACGAGGCTTCCTTTTCTGAGCAAGGCCAGAGACAGCTAAAAGTTGAAACAGTTACTGTACAGTGTGGTCGCATAGAGCTCTGTCTTCTGGAACCGAATGGCACTGTCAAGTAGGGTGAGGAGCCTTGGAGATTTGCATTATCAAGAGGCTAATTGACCTACCTGAGCCTGGACATCATACCCAGGACTTTCTGAGTCGGGACTTGTATACAACCATTAATTAGGTCAGATGGAAACCCAAGGATGCCACCAACAGTGCTTCCACATCTCTGCCCCTGCCTCAGGGATGACCGGATTGGTTATGGCTTCTGTTTCAATCACAGGTACAAACACCTCCCGGGCGACATTCCCTTTGCTGCGGAGGTCAGCTACAACAGAACCTAGTTCTGTCTAACAGACCAGCTGTGCCTATCACCATTTCTCCAGCTTGGAAAAATACCTTAAAGCTCCCCTCCTTCCCCCCCCCCCCCGCCATTCTTTAAATCAGTGAAGCAATTATTCTCATCCTAGCTCCATGTGATCGCGGTCTCACCCTCCCCGTGCCCGCTGTCCGGGATCTTCTCGCACTACCTCTTCTCATTCCTAGCAGCTCTTTCGAGGCCGTGCCCATGGTTTTTGGACACATCCATCTGCTTTAGGATTTTGCATGTGTTTTTTTGTTTTTTTTTTTTTTATTTAAAAAAAAAGGGCCAATGGGGTTAAAGACTCATTGCTGGATATATCCAAAGGAATTCCTGAAAGCACAGGATGTCTCTCAAAATTCTCACAGTTGCTTCCCCTGTCTGTGCACACCTCTGACCCCAGCACACAGGAGGCAGAGGCAGGTGGATCTCTGAGTTCAAGGCCAACCTGGTCTACAAGATATTGCTGGATATATCCAAAGGAATTCCTGAAAGCACAGGATGTCTCTCAAAATTCTCACAGTTGCTTCCCCTGTCTGTGCACACCTCTGACCCCAGCACGCAGGAGGCAGAGGCAGGTGGATCTCTGAGTTCGAGGCCAGCCTGGTCTACAAGAGCTAGTTCCAGGCTACAGAGAAACCCTGTCTCGAAAAACCAAAAAAAAAAAAAA